AATTTCACAAACAACAAAAATCTCAAAGGGAGTTGCATTTAAAGTGATTTAATAGGACTTACAAATAGAAGGGAGATTATGTAGCAGAGCTAGTAGAGCTTCTTCTCAAAAAGGTACAATCCGTGGACGCCGCCCTCAATCTGGGCGGAGGCGGTGCGCTTCTCAAAACGGAGCACGCCATTGTAGGTCTTCTCGCGCAGTTCCGTCAGACTGCGAATGCCCATGTCCTGGCAGCCGTAGCGAATGCCGTTCACCAGGTAGGGCACAAAACGAAAGATTGAGCCCTTGTCGACGATCGCCCCCGAGACGCCCTGCGCCACGCGCACATCCTCAGTGTCACTGCAGTTAAACAAAAAAGGGTATGGTTAGAAGAGAGTATGGTTAGAGCATGGTTAGTAAAACTATGCACCACCGCCTACTGACCTCTGAAAGTAGCGCTGTCGGGAGCCATCTCCATGACGGGACTCCATGGCGTCAATCGAGCCCATTCCGCGGTACTTCTTCACGCGAACGCCATTGGAGAGGTAGTACTCGCCGGGCGCCTCAGTCGTGCCCGCCAGCAGCGAACCCATCATGCAGGCGCTGGCCCCGAGCGCCAGCGCCTTCAGAATATGGCCCACCGAGTTGATGCCGCCGTCGGCGATGGTGGGGACTCCCAGGCGACGGGCGTAGTTGGAGACCTTGTAAACGGCCGTTGCCTGGGCCCGCCCACAAGCGGTCACCTCCTGGGTGATGCAGATGGAGCCGCTGCCCATGCCGACGCGCAGCCCGTCCGCCCCCGCCTCAATCAGATTCTTCGCCTGGGCCTGCGTCACCACGTTCCCCGCAATCACCTGCACCTCGCGGTCGCCGGTGTACGTCCGCTTCAGGTGGCGGATCATCTCAATTTGGTAGCTGGAGTTGCCCTGACTGCTGTCCAACACCACCACGTCGACGCCCGCCCGCACCAGCCGGTCCAGGCGGTCGCGGTCGGCGTCGTGCGTTCCGATGGCCGCGCCCACCAGCAGCTGGTCGTTGGCGTCCTTGGAGGCGTTCGGGTAGTCGCGTTGCTTCTTCACATCGGCGCGGGCAATCAGCGCCGTCAGGCGGCCCTCTCCGTCCACGATCGGCAGCTTGCCCTTCTTCTTGCTTTCCAGCAGGGCAATGGCCTCCTCCAGCTTGATGCCCTCCTGCGCGGTGACCAGCTCTCCGACGGGCGTCATGATGGCGCCCAGCGGACTGCCGACAATCTCCGCCGTCTTGAAGTCAATGTCGCGGCTGGTGACGATGCCAAGAAGCTTTCCGCCGAGCTGGCCGTTAGAGGTGATGGGAACGCCGCTGAAGCCGCGCGCCTCCTTTACCCTGATCACATCGGCAACGGTGTGCTCCGCCGAGAGGCACACCGGGTCGCGGATGAAGCCATGGCGGTACTTCTTCACCTTCACCACCTCCGCCGCCTGGAAGTCGACGGTGCAGTTGTGGTGGATGATGCCGATGCCCCCGGAGAGGGCCATGGCGATGGCCATGTCAGACTCGGTGACGGTGTCCATCGGTGAACTGACCACCGGCGCCTGCAGGCGAATTCGCTTCGTCAGCTGCGTCCCAATGTTGACGTCCGCCGCCTGGAAGTCAATGTACCCCGGCAGGATGAGAAANTGTGCAGTTGTGGTGAATGATGCCGATGCCGCCCGACAGGGCCATGGCGATGGCCATGTCCGACTCGGTGACGGTGTCCATCGGCGAGCTCACAACCGGTGCCTGCAGGCGAATTCGCTTCGTCAGCTGCGTGCCGATGTTGACGTCCGCCGCCTGGAAGTCAATGAACCCCGGCAGGATGAGAAAGTCATTGTAGGTGAGGCCCTCGCCGAGACCGAACAGCTGGTGGGCGGAGAGGCCGTCCTGTTCAAAGTTGTCGCTGTCAATCGTCTTCAGGAAGGTGCTGGCGATGTTGCTGCCGGTGATCGATGGCCGGTGGAGGTTGTACAGCGGGTGCTCTGGGTTTTGATGGCTCTGATGCTGCTGCTGCTGATTCTGTTGTTGTTGTTGTTGTTGCTGCTGCTGCTGTTGTTGGTTNAAAGTTGTCGCTGTCAATCGTCTTCAGGAAGGTGCTGGCGATGTTGCTGCCGGTGATCGACGGCCGGTGGAGGTTGTACAGCGGGTGCTCTGGGTTTTGATGGCTCTGATGCTGCTGCTGCTGATTCTGTTGTTGTTGTTGTTGTTGCTGCTGCTGCTGTTGTTGGTTGTTGTTGTCTGGTGACTGTTCAGAAGAGGAGGAGGACATGATGATGATTATTGCTCAGTTTGGTAGTTTCAAAGCAAATCTTTTGGAATGGAAAATGAGAAGGAGAACTGCGACTGAAAGGCAGCAAAACAAGCNGTTGGTTGTTGTTTTCTGGTGACTGTTCAGAAGAGGAGGAGGACATGATGATCATTATTGCTCAGTTTGGTAGTTTCAAAGCAAATCTTTTGGAATGGAAAATGAGAAGGAGAACTGCGACTGAAAGGCAGCAAAACAAGCACTGCAGAGCGCTGTTGTACAAAACATGGGGCGCACAGAGTTTGTCGCAGTTGACAGAGATGGAAAAATGAGAAAGGGAAAGAGAGAACACCACAGAAGCAGAAGCAGAAAGCAGAGAGTAGAAAACCACGCGTGGCTAATTTGAGCGCAATGTGTGCTTAGCACATTGCACTTTCTACTACTACTACTGCTGCAACCAAGACAACCGAATTAGCTGGCAATGCTGCCTCTGCCACTGCTACTGACAATTCGAACGAATGAAACTGACTGACTGACGTATGATGACTGATCAAAAGTTGAAAATTAGGGCGACGAGGAAGATGCTGCCGTCTGGGGATGCAGCCACAAAAAGTAGCTCTTGAACATTGTTAAAAACTTTTAAAAAAGAAGAAAAAGGACTTTGTCGCTCAACATTGTTTTATTGTGAGGCAAGAAAAAAACAAGAACAAGAAAGAAAAACAAATAAATAGTGAAAAGAACAATAAATAGTAGTTGTTGAAGGAATTGACACGATACAAAGAGTGAGTGAGTAAAGAAAAGAAGGCCGTATAACAAGAAAAAGAAAAAAGTGGCACCTGGGCACTTTTAAGAAATATGAGGTGAGGTGGGACGGCCGACTAAAAAAAGAATGGAAAAAGTAGTAAAAGTGCTTCAGGACAAATTCAATTTGTCATTGGGGAAGAAAAAGAATAGGAAGAAATTGGCCGACAGAAAAAAATGATCAGCGGTGATGATTATGGCAATGATGAAGATTATGAAAAAGGAAGAAAATCAAAGCAAAAAGTGATACTGCTGTAGCTGCTGCTGCGACTGAGCTCAGTCTGAGTTGAGAATCTTCTCAATGCAGCACTGAATGGACTCGTTGATGTCACTGAAGACGGGCACGCCCATTTTCGTGGCCAAGTCGGAGAGGTAGGAGCGGCCTCGGTTGTAGTCCTTGATTGCATCGGTGCTTAGCTGTTTAAAAAATGTTAAAAATAGTGGTTAATAATAGGAAATTGATTCAAACGAGGTAAAAAACCTACCCAAGTCTCCGTCTTGCCGTCGCTGATGACAAAGGGAGAACTGGCGTCGATGTTCTCAATGCAGAGGACCACCTGGTAGCCGAGACCGACGTAGTGAGCAGCCTGCAAAGATAAAAAAGTTAGTCAAAAATGACTATGATAACTGATAAGAAAATGAATACGCACCATAATCATGAAGGAGATGTCGATGGAGTTTTTCGTAATCAGAAAGAGCAGCACCCGGCTTTTCTCAATGTTCTTCGCCTCCAGTGGAATCATTCGTTGACTAGTCCACCGGTCGGCCTTCAGCGTGCTGAAGGTGATTGAAAACTTTCTGTTAAATGAAGAAAAAATAAAAATGATTAGATTTGACCTCCAAAGCAGTGATTACCACCGTCAAACTTACTTGAGCAGTGGGATGATGCTCTGGTTGAGGAAGGCCTCCTCGAGGCAGCCGCCAATGTAGAGATCGGTGTAGTTGTCGTACAGTAGTGAGGTAATCGAGGAGGTGGACGAGTGAAAGGCGTGTCGGCGCATGCCCATCGGCGAGGGCGTCGACTCGCCGCCGCCGCTGACACTGCTGCTGCCACGACTCAGCAGACTGGGCGACTGGGAGCCACCAAAACCGGCCAGAGGGTGGGCGTTCGGGGCGGCCAGGTGGTTAGGCGAGGACGTCGACAGGGAGTGTCGGTGGCGAAAGAGGCTCGGGCTGGCGGACCGGGCCGAGTGATGATGATGAGAGTGATGACTGCGAAGATGGGCCAGCGAAGGACTGGCGGAGCCGGCTACAGAAGAGCCGTAGGAACTGTGAGCAGATGAGGTAAAAGAGGAGGGCGTTGCCGGCGTCGGTGGGTGAAGCTGAGGTGAGGCGTCCACGTGGTGGAAGCGCGGCAGACTAGAGTGGTGAGGTGGGTAGTGCTGTTGGTGCTCATCAACCACCACCGCATGACCCGCCCAGTAGTTGGGCGAGGCGGAGCGAGAGGGAAAGGAGTTGTTGAGGGAGTACGAGGGCGCCCGGCGGAGCAGCCGGGACGGGTGCAGCGGGTGCTGAGGATTGCCGCCCACATTCCCACTGTTTGGTGGGACGTGCCAGTTTGGCTGCTGCTGCTGCTGATGCTGGTGCTGGTTAGGATTCTCCTCCACCACCGGAATACTAAAGATTGTCTTGATAATACTAAAGGCGTTGAAGAGGTTGCTGCCCACCTTCTCGAAGACTCGGCCGGGCAGTGCGAGGATGGCGGTGGCGTTTCGGTTGTCGCCACTTTGGCTGTTCTGTCGGTGATGAGCAGCAGCAGCGGCGGCATTCGTATTTTGCTCCGACAATGCTCGCGCCTTCTCATTCAGCTCGGAGACGATGCAGCAGAACTGGTCAAAAGTGATGACAATCTCATTGAGGGGCGGCAGCGGTGAATCGGTGGTGGCTGATTCAGAGGGAAAAATGTCTGAAAGCTTTTTCATCTTGCGGTTCTTCTTGCTGCGACTCTTTGGCTTCTTTCCACTACTACTGGTTGCACTGTTTGGTGATGAGGAGCCGACCATCTCAAAGTGGTGCTCGTCCTCTCCGGAGGGCTCATCCGAGGAGCTGGAGCGACTTAGCGAGGGACTAGAGGTGTTGGAGCAGCTAGGGCTGCCTGTTTTGGCCTGGTTTGCCAGGTGGACGCGGGCCAGCTGGCGGACAATCTCCGCCGGCAGCAGGCGGTTGGTGAGCGTTCGGTAGGCGTGCGCCAGCTCGGCGAAGGTGAACTGGTGGGCGCCGTTCTTCAGCGAGTTGAAGAGATTGAACATGCTGATCATCTTGTCGCCGAGAGTGATGTGGCCGAACTTGACTGGCGTCACGTAGTCTTCCGTCAGCGTCAGGTCCTGCGGCCAGATGTTGTCGCGGAGGATGCGCACCGTCGACTTCAGGGCCAGCTCAATCTGCCCAAAGATGGGAATGCCCTGTCGTTCGACGACGTCTCGGAGGAAGGCGCGACCTTTGCTGAGCATTTCGTATTCTCTGAAAGTGGGAAAAAATGGGTAAGTTTTCAAGTTTTTGAACAAAAGACAAAAAACTAACTCATGCGACAGCTCATCATTGACAATCTTGCACTTGGGCCCGGGCAGGTCGTTGATGACCAGGACCAGCTTTCGGTTGGTGGCCGCGAGGAAGGCCACCTCAATCATGGAGGCAATCGCCCTTGTCTGGTTGTCCACCACAAAGAAGAGAATCTCCGAGTTCTGCTTGGCGAAGCACTCCAGCTCAATCAGCTCAGGGCCCCATTGCTCCACCTGGGGATTGTAGTAGGTGATGCCCAGGCGCTTCAGCTCAGGAATGACCACCTCGGTGCGCCACCGCGTTGGGTTGCAGGAGCCACCGAGGAAAACTACAAATAAAAAAGATCAATTAGCAAAAAACAGTCAAAACCCAAATCTCCCTCAAAAGTTTACCTTCAAAATTGCTTGCATGGTGGCTGTGATCAGACGGCTCCTCGAGGAGCGACTGGTCGGCGCGCTCGAGCTTTCGGTAGAGGGCCTCACTTTGAGAGAGGGGCTTGGCAATTGGAATACTGAAAAACAAAAAATGTTCAGAAAATTTTTCAAAAATTATAATCATTTAGATCACTCACTTTTGTTTGTAGCTGTTGATGAGGACGCTGGCGAAGAAGCAGAACTCGCCAAAGGTGAGCGGGCCGCCCTCGCGCGCCTGCACCGCCTCGCCGCTGGTCGCCTTGCTGGTGAATGATTTACTACGCGCTAGACTGCACCGACTGGCGCACTGGATCATCTCGTAGACCTGCGACTCGGTGGGGTAGATGTCGATGCCGTGGAAGAGCTGCTGAATCTCCGTCACCATGCGACGGTGCTGGTGCGAGGACTCGTGCAGAGAGCTGCCATTGCTGGAGGTGGTAGTTGTGCCAAGAAGACCATTGGCGGCAGTGGAGGCTACACCGCTGAAGACCGAGGCTTGCCGCCAAATGTCGTACAGTTTTCTGTTTTGGGAGAGGAAGAAAAAAGGAGTTAGAAAATCAGAAACTGATTTGTTTGTTTTGATCCAACGTCCGTACTTTGTTAGCGTGCCATAGAGCTGTGAAGCCGACATTATCCAGCTAAAGAGGGTGGCGTTCCAGACGTAGAGGAGGGAGCTGACAGGAGGTGAAGTAGTTTTCAAGGAGGTGGAGATGGGCAGTGATGGCCAGAGACTGGTGATCAGGAGGTACTTGGTGGCGGTCTGCAGGTGCAGGTAGTTGGCGAGCAGAAGGGGAAGGAGCAGAGTGAAGGCGAACAGTTGGTTGGTGAGCAGGGTGAAGAGCAGGAGCATGATATTCAGAAAAAGAATTGGAAGAGGATTATTGATTATTTGACTAATTGATCAATAATGGAGAGAGAGTTAATGT